AGTAGGGTTACTTTGTCCTAGTTTCGTCAAGAACTAGGGTTCCCTATTTAAGCAAAGTGTTTCACACAATCCTGAATTTCGGTAAGCAACCTATCCTAATTTGGAACAGTCTCTATGACTTTCGATATGCAACTAAGCCAATTGGTCAAAAAGGATACCTCAGCAAGACTACCTAATATGCCTCTCACACCTAACACCGAGAAGTGAAAAGAGGATCAAACGGTACAGCGGTAGTCCAGATCCAAGGGTTGTGTTACCATCGTGGCAGAGCCTGTAACTGGTCAACCTTTTGGCAAGCTTTTCCAAGCAAGCCTCCGACAAACCGTTCAGGAATAGCAGATGGTAAACATAGTGACTTAGGCGCACCAATGCAAATGCAAATTTAGAAAAACACATAAGTGTAAATAAAAAAGTCATATCATGAGTTCGAGTCAAGTTCTTTAATTCCCCAGTGAAGTCGCTAGAAACTGTAGCTCGGTTTTTTCGCGCTCCCTTTTGAAAACCTGAAAAGAAGCCCTATAGTTCGGACTCCCGCGGTTCTGAATCTAATCTCACAAGTGCAATGTGAAACTGATAAACACCAAAGAGTCCAAATCCGGCAAATTATTTTGAAAAATTGATTTTGAATCAAAAGTGCCAAAATTGGACTGTTTTGCCAGATATAGAGTCGCCACCTAAATATTTTATTTTGGGGAAATCTAGGAAACCCATGACTCGTGCCAAAGGCCATGTGTCCGTCATCACCAAAGTTGCCTTAGCTCGGGAACTTAGGTACGGAAGGGAAGGTCATGAATTGAGCAACCCCACTTGCCCGATCAAAGATTGGCCTCTACTAATCATGATATGATTTTTATGTACATTATATGCTTTTGTTCTAGTTATTGGGCTAGCATTACTATATCACACACACAAGTATAAACTAACTTGCAAGAATTGGAACACTTGACTCATGTTCGTTTTGAAAATTGTTTCGAAACATGTACCACTTGAAAAAGTGATCGCATATGAACATTACTCAAATTATTCCAATTCAAGCAGTAAGCCTTCATCCAAAGGCATACAAGCAGTTTATCAATTAAACATTTAGCCTCATGGCAAGCATGTTAGATATGGCAACAATCACACGCATGCGATATGCTAAAGCGAGTAAAGGCTCACATAGTACTCCAAGCCAAAATAAACAAAAGAGTTCAAAAAAAAATGCATGATTCCTAACTATGCAATATGACTAATGCAACACATGCGATATGCAATTAATAGGCTCAGCTACTTAATATGACATGAAACATTTGATAACATGCGGTCTAAGCACGCATTAAAAAAAGTATTGAATTAACGATGCAGTTAAAATGATGCGCCGAGCCTCGGTGCATGCAATATAAATGGATGCAAACATGGAGAATGCTAATTTAAAATGTGATGTCCCTAAACTAACCATCATAAGCTAGTAAATAAAAGAGAGAAAGACGTGGGGTTAGAAGACATACACATTATTACATTGCGCTCTCACGAAGGAGAGTCCAAGAGAATAAACTAAGCTAACTAGCTAACTAACTAAAGCTAAGCTAATTATTACAAAACCGAATGAATAACTAGCTAAACTACTCAACTAATTATTACAACACTTAAATTAACTAACTATTCTAGTTAACTAACTAATTAAATAATTACAACACAAGTGCAATTAAAATAAGTAATTAAACTAAACAACTAACTATTATGCCTCGAGAAACGAGGGATGTTCGGTTTCCACCCGAAAAGCCACTGTTTTGCTTCTGAATGCCTCTATTTGCACAATTGAACACCAACACTGTTGCCCACTTCCAGAACAACTCTGCTTTGCCTCAGAAACACACTGTTCAAATTTTTATCAGTGGCCAGCCGGCCAGTGATGAAGGTTGCCAGCCATTGATGCTCAGGTTCATCTTGCTGCAACAGAGGACAAACAGAGCATATACAGGGTATTTCAAGGGTTTTTTTGCACAACTCACCCCTCCTTTTCATGAGCAAATCTAAGGAGTAGCAAGTTCGGTACACAAACCATCAATGGATGCAATTTCATTGCATGATGGCTTATGAAACCAAGTGTGCAATTTCAATAAATACAAAACAAGACACAAACCTCCTCCCTTTCATGAGTGATCAAGGGAAGTGGTGACCCTCCCTTTCATGAGTGATCAAGGGAAGTGGTGACCTTGGAACCTTGAATCATTTCATCACTAATGAGTATGAAATGGTTCAAGTTTCCATCTGTTCAATTAATGTCCGATTGAACACAACCAAATTATTATCTTGCACACTTTTAGTCCCAAGTTTTAGTTACTCCATTTTAAATTACCAACCATTCTTTAATTGATTGAGTCCAAATGTGAGTTTAAGTCCTCTAATGGAAAGAAGACTCAAACCAAAAGTTGTTGTAGGCATGAAAGAGACATTATACCATTGGTAATGAACCCCCTAAAGGATTAAACCATTAAGCATGACATTTCAATCTCATGCTTTAAACAAACAAATAGTTTGAATCACTTTCAAAACGAAATAAAAAAAAAAAATCAAGAAAGGAGGGAGGTTGCAGAGATGCTTAAGTGTTGAAAATGAGTGAGAAAAGCATAAATAAATGCTATTAACTCAAACAAGATGGTGTCTAAGGCCTAGAACACCAAACTCATGAGGACTATTACACTACAAGCATGCAAAACAAAGCTCAAACGCAACTAACAGCCCAAAACAGTGCTAAAATAGGTTAAAGCAATCCTAAAACATGTTGGAATTAAGCTAAAAATAGCTAGATTAAAATGCTAAAACATGGCACCAACTAGGCTAGTAAGCAAGACACAAGAAGGGGAGGCTAACCCCTCCAAATTTGAACTTCAAAACATGATTTTGGCCACTGGAAAAGCTCTGAAAATCAGTGTTTAAAAGCTTGGAAAAAGATAGTAAAATGGTGGGAAACACAAAGGCAAAGGCCTCCAAAACAAGGTACAAAGAAGGGCTATCAACCCCTCAACTTTAATGGCCTTAAACCCAAGCTTCAGCCTAAAAAACACTGAGTTTTGACAGCCCAAAACAATGGAAAAATAGTGGGAAAAACAAAGAGAAATCAAGCAAATAGGTAAAGCCTTATACCTCTTGAAGAGAAGAAGCAATTCCAAACAACAAAACCAAGTAAACACACCTTCTAGAGCTCAAACCAAGCTCAAAAGTACCTCAGCTCAAAGATGGTGAGATTTGGTTAAGGGTGTATAGGCAAAGGTTGAAGATATATAGGCAAAAGTGTAGAAATTTGGTAGAGAGAGTGAGAATTGTACAAAGAGAGGAAAGTTTTTTATCTCAAAATTTTCTAACCTTAAAAAATGAGGGAGGGGGCTCCTATATATAGAAAACATGAAATTTTCTCAAGGAGATCCAGCCCTACACGTAGGGATAGATGCATGTATCTGTGCAAACAGCTGGCATAACTGGCATAAAATATCTGCAAAATACACTGGTGGCTAGCAGCCCAAAAGTGATGGTCAGTAGCCCAAAAGGAGTGGCCGGCAGGCCACTAGAGGCTGCAGGCTCGAAAAGCTAGGCTTGGTCCAAAACTGGGACAACAAAGGTACAGGATTTGAAAGGCTCAAAGTTGTGGCATTCCGCTGAGGACTTCGAGCACTTTGCGAGCATATAAACTCATCATCGAGTGTGCATGTGAGGACGTCCAAGTCGTAAGGGCCGTAAAAAATGGGATGTCTACAGCAGGCCATGAAAAGATTGCCTAATTGTCAAATTGCTTGGGAAAACTCTAGGGTATAAACTTCTAGTATCCAAATTGAGAAAGATATGAGGACTACAAGGACATTTTGAAACAACTAATTTGGGTTTAGGGTTTTTCTTGAACAAATTCGAAATGATGGTCGATTATAGTAGAGTGTATACATAGGGCCCTTGGATTATAATGGAACATGATTTTAAGCCGTCGGAGGTAGGAGAAGTGGCCACGGCACTATGGGTTAAGTTTTCCCAGCTTCCAATTGAGTACTATAACAAGAATTTTCTCTTCCATATAGCAAAGGCAATTGGGAAACCCCTCAAGGTAGATCTTAATACTGCCATGTTTACTCGAGGAAGGTATGCACGCTTATATGTGGAAGTTGATCTAACAAAGCCATTAATTTCGAGATTTGCTATAGGTAAATATACTTACATAGTGGAATATAAACATTTACACTATTTTTGTTTCTAGTGTGGGAAAGTTGGGCATCGAAAAGAGTACTGTAGTAGTAACAAATCGGCGCCGAAGCTGGCGAAGGCTACCTCAATAGCCATAGCTAACGGTCATTGCACTGGATTAGATCAAGCTACAATGGCTAGTTCATCAAAAAGACAATCTAATCCTGACAGAGAGTAGATAGAGGAATTTGGGCCTTGGATGTTAGTGAATAAAAGAAATAATAGGCCCAACCCCATTGCAAGACAAGTTGGGCCCAACAACTATAATCACAAAAGATCTGCTAATAGGTTTGGCCCTCTAGCTGAGAAGGGGAACATGGAAGGAGCAAAAGAAAGAGCTAAGCATAAAGGCCCCATTGGCCCAAGCATGGAAGACATCCACAGAAATGACTCTACTGGTGAGTCAAGCAATCCAAATAAAGCTTAGGAAATCTTTTTAGAAAGACAAGAAGATGAAAGACAACTCAACAAGGATAAGGATCCAGCTGTTGAAGGATAAATTTTACCAAAGAATCCTGCTCCAAGCTAACCTATCCTGGTGCAAGCTACAAACAAAGAACTAGAATTGATAAGTATAGAGGTTAGTACACCTAACCCTCCATTGTCACCTTTTAATCCCATCCCCGCTTAGATTTCTTGTCTTACTTGTTCTCCATCTACCTCTGTAACTTCCCAAACTTCCATTGATAGTTTTGATCTAAAACAAAAACCGCCCGATATAAAACGTAAGCATCCCCAGCAACACCAGCTCCAACGACGACCCAGAGATACCAGAAGTGCAACTCACTAAGATGAGACACAACTCTGTGGGGTCATACCTCGAACCAGAGAGCGGAGCCATTTACCAAGTAGGCATTGAATGGTGGATAGAAGAGATAAAGCTGACTATAGAGCCCAGGTGGGTGAGCATAAGAGGAAGGCCACTGCAGGCAACTCAGATGGAAGCCCTAAGGCCATCAGAACTATCCAAGAAGATAGTGCGTAATTTCATTGGTCTGGCTAACATAGATCCGTTACCCCACTTTCCTAACCGATCATCCATGAATGTTATGTTGTGGAACTGTCGGGGAGCCAGTAACAACATACTTCGGAGAAACTTTAGAGAACTCATTAGAGTACATCACCCAATTGTTGTTGCTTTTTTTGAAACAAAAGTCCTTTTCAGCTCAATGGGTCTCTTCTTCAACCACTTGGGGTTTACTACTTCTACCATTGTTGATCCTGTTGGACGTGTAGGAGGCATATGGCTGATTTGGGACCCTACACAAGTCTCAATTAGTGCCCATATTGCCAACTCTCAAGTTATTCAAGCTACTATGAAAAGAGAGGACTATGAGGAGTGGGTGCTAGCTGCAGTCTATGCTAGTTCTAGTATTGGTATGCGTCAAAATCTCTGGAATGATCTTGAAAATTCTGCAAACTCCATGGTTGACCCTTGGCTTATTGTGGGAGGTTTTAATGATGTCATGGGTCAGAATCAAAGGAGAAGCTTCACACAGAATAATCAAAGTAACCGTTGCAAAAGGTTTCTTGAAAACATTAATCGTTATGGGCTTATGGACCTAGGTTGCACAGGGCCGAAATTTACTTGGTCTAACAATAGGCAAGGATTGGCTAATACTATGGAAAGGTTGGATCGAGCCCTTTGTAATGCGGAATGGAGGACCACCTTCCCTGAAGGAGCAGTCAGAAATCTTCCTCGTACATATTCGGATCACTCACATCTTATGATCTACACAGAAGGTATAACTAAACTTTCTCCTGTTAATCGTCCCTTTCGCTTTGAAGCTGCTTGGCTGTCGTATCCTACTCATAAAGATATTGTTAAATCTTCTTGGAATCATGCATCTTTTAAACAAGACAACTTGTTTTCTATTACTTCAAATTCCATTACTTGGAACAAGGAGGTTTTTGGTAACATTTTTAAAAGGAAAAGATGGCTTTCTCTCTCTCTCTCTCTCTCTCAGATGTTAGGATATTGCTTTCTACTTTTTGTAGAAATTGAAGGCTTGAAAAGGAAATTGTCAAGCAAACTTGGTGCTAATTCTCCTTCATTGCAACCGAATTGGCAGGTTTGTTCTTTCATTACCTTTAATAATCAAGCATATGCTGCTATTAGCTGTTAGTTTGAGTGGTATCTCCCGCCCCTAAAGAGAGATGTCTGGGTTCAAATCCCAATTAGACACAAGTTTGTGTGTTATTATTTATTAAATGAGGAGGCAGAAATTAGCTTCTAGCTAAATTTTCAACAACTGGGAAGGAAACAGTAAATACCAAGTTGGTCTGATTGACTATCATCCTTTTTAATTGGGGAAATTATAAGATAAAAAAGCTAATCCCTGAGAAAATAGGCATCCACCATGTTCCAGCTGATTAGCTTTTTATTTATATTTTTTGTTCTTGTTTTCCTTTGTTGCTCTCCATCTAGGAGAAGTAACTGTATTCCTGATTCACCAAAAAAACTGTGTTCCTGATTCGAGAGATATCCTAGTTGCTCTTTTTCCATCATCAAGAAAGAATTGTATTGCCCTGCTTGATTTTCATGTTGACAAGGAACATGAAGGGACACATTATTGTGGGGGTTTAATTGTGCTTATTTTGTCACATTTTGTTGCAGATTGGCGAGTGTGTGGCTATCTGGTGGAGGCCAAACTTTGAAACTATAATGTACCCCTATTGCCCTCCACATATCACAAAGCCTAAGGTAGTAGAGGATCTTTGGACTTCCCAGTGACACATGGAATAAATTTGTTTTTTCCCTGATTGAGTTGTCTTGAAATCAGCTGTCCTGAAGAGGAATTTTCAATGCAGGAGTGTAAGAAGCTTTTCCTTGTTCACTTGTCTGAAAGAGAGTACTTCGCAGTACCCAAAAATTTGAAACTGCTGGCCGTTCCCCTGTTTGAGCTCTATGATAATGTTCAGGTGTGTTGACATTTAAGCTTCAATTTTTATTCTTTTTCAATTTTTAAGGAAAGTCAATTCACAAGAGAAATTTGAAAAAATAAAAATAAAAAATCAAAGAAGTATAAACCTAGAATTCAATTGAATGAAAATAGAAAAAAAGAATGATCAAATTGAAGAGGGATACAAGTTCATATGACAGCCCAATTTAACTTTAGAAATGTATATACATAAGAATTTCAATTAATGTATGTAGGAGTATTTAAATTTAGCATAGTGTGAATCACACGTAATGAATCAAATCTACACATTTTAAATTTTGAATTTTTTTTTTTTAAATATTAAGTTTAATTGATAGAGGAAGCTCCCAACAAAAAAACAAACTTCAATACAATTAACATCTAAATCCACTTTGCTAACTAAAAAACTAAATGATTCATGTATAACCACAAGAATAGATCAAAGAATTTCAATCACTACTTAAAAAAAAAAAAAAAAGAAGAAAAAAAAGAAGAAGAAAAGTGAAGAGAACTCACATATCATCCATGAACTTGATAGAAACCAAGACACTGGTAATGAGAACCGATGCACATTGAAGGAATTGATCGGCAAAAGTGGTTGGCTGTGCACGAACCGATCAAGAAAAATGTAGGCGACAACAAAGCACGATGAGCTACAATTGGCGAACTTGAAGATAAGAGATGAATGTCTTGCCTCGTCAGTCGTCGTTCACCCTCGTCACGCGTCGCTGCTGCTCGTCACTCCGGCGAAGGCCATCGTTCACTGTTCACCGTTCACCCTCGTCACTCTGCGAAGGCCGTCGCCATCGGAGATTGGGGATTTTGGGATCAATGGATTTTGATTTGGGATTTTAGGGATTTTGGGACATATGACCGCGAATGGGCCACTGAAATGAGCGGGATATGAAAAAAAACTTTTTTGCGACGGGAAAATTTAACCGTCACAAATGGTACATCATTAACAAACAAAACGACGTCGTTTTTACCCAGAGTATTTGTGATGGGCCTCTGCCGTCACAGATGATCCACCATTTGCGACGGTAACGTTTTACCGTCGCTAAAGAATATTTTTTGCGATGGTATACCGTGCGTCGCAACTGTTCCTACATTTTTCTTTTAATTTCATTAGCGACGGAAGTCACACCCGTTGCAGAAGCCCATTTTTATCGACGGTAAATAAACCCCGTCGCAAAATAAATTTTTGGCGACAGAAATTACACAGCGTCGCAAAAAAACCACTTTTTGCGACGGCAGGTACCCCGTCGCAAAAAGCTCCGTGTTATTTGACAGGTTTTCCTGTAGTGATCCTCACTAAAATTTTAGATGCATCTTTCTATAGAGATTCTATTTGCAACCAAAAAATTATTAAATACCCCTAATTTCTCAATACACTCTATTAAATTATTTAAGATTATAATTTACTCTTAATACACTATGTGTTTTTTTGTTTTGTTTTTTTTAAAAAATTACCCATTAAGGTACAACTAAATAATAAACAAATCAAAAGTCCCAAATTTTAAAAAGCTCTTATGTTCACATACAGGGAACAACAGCCACTACAACAAAAACACATTTTAGTGACACCATACTAGTGGCATGTTCTTAAAAAATGTCACAAAAAGAATATTTGGTGGCATTTTTTTAGAAATATGTCATAGAGCCACAAACATACAAAGCTCTAGTGGCATTTCAATTAAAAAAATGTCACTTCACTACAACAAAAATGTCACTACAACAAATTTACACTTTAGTGACACTACACTAGTGGCATGTTTTTAGAAAATGCCACAAAAATAAAAATTGGCATTAAATGTTTTAGAAAAATGCCACAGAACCACAAACATATAAGGCTTTAGTGGCATTTCAATAAAGAAATGTCACATCAATTTTATGGCATTTTATAAAATAATGATACAAAAAATTATGTTCGTGACATTTACCAACAGATGCCACTAAACTTTAGTAGCAATGGCATTTTTTAAAAAATGTCAGGATACTAGGTAGGTGAAAATTACTTTTTATGGCACTTAGGTGAAAAGTGTCATAAACAAATATTTTATAGCATTTTGAGAAATGCCACTAAACCAAAAACTTTTCAAGCTTATAATGGCATTTTTGAAAAAACAAAAAATGTCAATATATTTTCTAAATTTTTAAAATGCAGTAAATGATTAAAAATAAATAAATTAAACTCAATATATACTACAGGAAAAAGCATATTCGGCGACTAAATTTCTTGACCAAAAAAAATTTGGTCGCTGAACGTATAGCTTTCAACGACCAAAACAGCATTAGTAGCCAAAAGTAAAGCTTGTTGGCGATTAAACAATTTTAGCAGCCAAAAGTCTACAATTGGCAACTAAAACTAAGTTTGGTCGCTAATTATATGGGTTTTAGTGACTAAAAAAATTTTAGCAGCTCAAAGTAAAGCTTTTTGGCGATTAAAAAAATTTAGTAGCCAAAAGTCTACAATTGGCGACTAAAAATAAGTTTGATCACTGATTATATGGGTTTTACCGACTAAAAAAATTTTAGTAACCAAAAGTAAAGCTTTTTGGTGACTAAAAAAACTTTAGTAGCCAAAACTCTACAATTGACGACTAAAAAATAAGTTTAGTCACCAAAAGTGGTCATTTTTAGCGCGGGAGAACTAAAATCCTAAGGCGGGAATTAAATTTTTTGGCGACCAAAATTTTGGTAGCTGAAAGTGTATCTTCGGCGACCAAATCCGATTTTGGTCGGCAAAAGCTAAGTTTTTTAGCAACTAAAAAACAATTAGTAGCCAAAAGTACAGAATTCGCCAAAAGTGGTCTTTTTTTATTTTACATAAATTATGTTTAATAAAATAATTATGTTTATACATATACTTTTATATTAATATGGATGTATGTACTATATAAATAATATATGTTGCATATATAATCATGTGGTGCTATAGAGGTGTAGTGGGAAGAGTGTGGTGTATAAGGCTTATGGTGTGGGAGGTTGGCGGTTCGAGTCTCCGCAAGAGCGGATCAAATTGTTTTACAATGAATTATCGTCACGAATGGCACTTGATAGCATCACGAATAGTGCATACCATGATATTAAAGTGTCAGTGAAAGGTTTTAGTCTTGATGGTGTAATGACACTTATAAGTGTCACTAACTCTTTTTTTAATGACGCTTGATAGTGCTACAAATAATATCTACCATGACATCAAAATGTCATTAAAAGTTTTTAGCCATGATGGTGTAGTGACACTTGCAAGTATCTACCGTGGCACGGATACAAATGGCACTTGTTCAAAATGCCACAAGACTAAAAAATATCATTAAACCAATAATTTTGTGGCACTTTCAAATGTCACTAAACTAAGAAAATGTTATAGTGGGCACAGGCGGCAATGACATTGCAAAGGAGAATGATGTCAGCAAACCTCAACCCCTTGTCGTTGGTCCCATCGCATTCAAGCTTGAACTTCGCGTTCACATTCACTGACCACCGACTAGTGTTGATGGGGTGTTGTTGCTGCTGGTGCAAAGTAGTGTTGTTGTTGGCTTTGGGCAAAACCAGCTCTGAACTAAGGCTATTGAGGCCATTGCCTTAGACCTCAAAAAATTGGTTCAAAATAAAGCCTTCAAATTTAGTAGTATCTTATAGTATATATATTACAAATTCAAATAGGCTCAATTTATTTTTGTTGTTTTAGAGCCAGTCTAAAAAGCTCACTACAACATTTTCTTAGTTTAGTGACATTTGAAAGTGTCACAAAACTATTCTTCTAATGACATTTTTTGGTCTTGTGGCATTTTGAACAAGTGCCACTTCTATCGGTGCCACGGTAGATACGAGTGCCACGGTAGATACTTGCAAGTGCCACTACACCATCATGGTTGAAAACTTTCAATGACATTTTAATGTCATGGTAGATATTATTTGTGGCACTATCAAGCGCCATTAAAAAAAGAGTTAGTGACACTTGTAAGTGTCATTACACCATCAAGACTAAAACCTTTCAGTGACACTTTAATGTCATGGTAAGCACTATTCGTGACGCTATCAAGTGCCATTCATGACGATAATTCGTTGTAGAACAATTTGATTCGCTCTTGCGGAGACTCAAACCGCCAACCTTCCGCACTATAAACCTTATACACCACACTCTTCCCACTACACCTCTATACCACCACATGATTATATATGTAACATATATTATTTATATAGTACATACATCCATATTAATATAAAAGTATATGTATAAACATAATTATTTTATTGAACATAATTTATGTAAAATAAACTATTTACTACCAAAATAAAAAAAAGACAACTTTTGGCTACTAAAAATATTTTTTAGTCGCCAATTTTATACTTTTGGCTACTAATTATTTTTTAGTTGCTAAAAAACTTAACTTTTGTCTACCAAAATCAGATTTGGTCGCCGAAGATGCACTTTCAGCTACCAAAATTTTGGTCACCAAAATATTTTATTCCCGCCTTAGGATTTTAGTTCTCCCGCGCTAAAAATGACCACTTTTGGTTACTAAACTTATTTTTTAGTCGCCAATTGTAGACTTTTGGCTACTAAAATTTTTTTTGGCACCAAAAAGCTTTACTTTTGGCTACTAAAATTTTTTTAGTCAGTAAAACCCATATAATCACAACCAAATAGATTTTTAGTCGTGTAGACTTTTGGCTACTTAATTTTTTTAGTCATCAAAAAGCTTTACTTTGGGCTACTAAAAATTTTTTAGTCACTAAAACCCATATAATCAGCGACCAAACTTAGTTTTAGTCGCCAATTGTAGACTTTTGGCTACTAAAATTGTTTAGTCGCCAAAAAACTTTACTTTTGGCAACTAATGCTGTTTTGGTCGCTGAAAGCTATACTTTCAACGACCAAATTTTTTTGGTCAGGAAATTTAGTCACTGAATATGCTTTTTCCTGTAGTGTATATTGAGTTTAATTCATTTATTTTTAATCATTTACTGCATTTTAAAAATTTAGAAAATATATTGGGATTTTTTGTTTTTTCAAAAATGTCATTATAAGCTTGGA